AGCTTTTGGTTACATGTCAAAAGATCCCCAGGTGGTCGAAATTAATCCTCAGTCCTCCGCTGGGGCGTGCCAGATGCCCTTGGTTGGTTGGGCACATAAAACCCCCAAATTTGACTTGCTGACACTAACTCTGTCAAATGGCCACGACCACCGATCTCTATGACAATTGCTGGATCGCGCTTCCCTGCTCCGTGAGTGCGGCCACCGGACGGCCACCTTGCACGTGGAAAAATGGCCTTTTGGAGCATTGCGGAGGCTGGTGGCAGCAAGCTGAAGGCACGGTTTCCACTTGTTGTTCGTCATTCGCCGAACAAGTTTTTTAAAACCTTGTGCAAATGGTGAGACATGCCTTGGAGAACACGTGAAAAGTTTTACGAAAGTGCAACGCCGCAAAAAAAAGGCGCAACTCGTTGAAAGCAAGTTTCGATGGTCTCGCGGTGAGGCACAGAGACAGAGCACTTCGGCATGCCAAGGAAGCTTTGATCACGCCATGAGACCGGTGAAACTTACTTTTGACGAGTTTTGCCTTTTTCTTGCGGCACTGCACTCTCAAAAAACTTTTATGCATTTTCGCAGGCAAGTCTTACCGTTTACACAAGGTTTAAAAAAAACCTCTTCGGCAAATGACGGTGAACAAGTAGAAACCGTGTCTTCAGCTCGCTGCCAAAGGCAATTTTTTGACAAGCAAAATGGTCGTTAGGCGCCGCACCTGCCGCTGCCGCGGCCAAGCGGGATGTGCGATCCAGCAAGCTGTCATGGAGATCAGTAGCCACGACATTTCAAGATCCCTCCTCGAGGTCATTCTTGAGAAAAACTAATATTTTTATTTTTCGGTTAATATTGGTTACCAGTAAAAAAATTTACGTTGCAGCTTTCATAAATTTCAAATAACGGTTTCGTTGTGGTTACGGTTACTGAAAACATTTTGTCACCGTAATATTTCGGTCTTGGTTATGGTTTGAGTCCCTGCAAAATGGTACATAGCATAATGTCTCGAAGGGCAACTCCACTTCATTTTTATTTTTGAAAAAACAAAGCAGCCCTCTTAAGTATTACCAAGAAAATTCACACGTCAGATATTACGACATAGTTCTGTCTAAACGTTTCCTAAACAGTCCGGAAAACTTCGCAACTTGCCAATTTGCCGAAATCGGCTGACTCGAGCAGGCGAATTGAGGCGCAGCCAACAGCCCAGTCAAGGCTACGGCGTGGCTAAAGCCAACATTGAGCTAAACGTCATCACCATTGCCCCCTTTTGCTTGCTTTTACTTCTCAGGGCAAGCGTAACGGGTGACGTCAGCAAAGTTTTTTCTCGGCGCGCCTGCGCAGCGCGCTTCTTAGGAGCCATCCGGCAGCCCCGCCGTGTTTCGCGTCACAACCGCCACCGTTGTCTTACCGTTTGTGATTATTGTCTCTCAGAGTTCCGTCCACACTACGGACACTACGTGCACAGACTTATGCCGCAGTTGTTCAGACGTTGCCAAATGTCGTAGACATCAAAACATGGTGAAGAGTGTGGTGCAGACGACACTTGCAGCTGGCACACGCCTACCCCAATCCAGCCCGTCATTGCATAGAGGATCACGTAACATCTCGTACCACGTGATAGCGATGTTCTTGGCGGACCGAGGCCAATGTTGTTGGACGGAGCCAAAGTTTATGTTTCTGCTCGTGTTTAAAGTTAGATATAAAGATATACATCCCATTTTTCGCGAGGCAAATGACGTACTGTCTTTTACAAGGGCTTTTTAATGCGAAATCATTCCTCATCCCGAAATTTTCGGAAGTGAGCAGAGTTGCCTTTTAACAGCTTTTCACGCCACGAGCGCAGGTGCATAGCAGGCATTTCATGCTTCCGTAGCTTCTTCGCTCATACTAATGACTAAAAGGAGCAGGTATAGTAAACGGGCATCACCGCAACAGTGATTACTCAACCACTCTACAGATTGACTCTCATTCAGGTCAAAACTAACGGTGGCGAGAATGGAGCCTAGGATTTCTGGGTTTTGCGGAGTGCGTTTCCCTCCCCCTGTTCTACCAGCTGGCCAACACACCCAGCCACGGGTCCCCTATACTTCGTTCATTCTTAAGCTGAGACTAACAGCTCTGCCTTCACACAAGCTTTCTGCCCAAGATTACACAAGTGTGAACATGAAGGGGGCGCAACCAAAGCACTGCGGAAGCCAGCCCGCACTAAAGACAGAGCATAGTGTCTTGCGAGCAGTATACAACTAATATTCTTCCTTACTTAAATATCCTCCCCGCGTAACAACCAAGCCCATGATCTTTAATACATTTTCTTCCAAACAAACAACTATCTCACTCCACGGCTCCAAGCAGCCAGCATGGCCAGCTGGGCCTACACGGTGTTGACGGTGTCCACGGAGAGCGGCAAGATACGAGCATCCCTAGCAGCGAGGCGCATCGAGCAAGATAGGGGGTTAGGAGAGGGCATGAACGTGCTCTTCGGACTCTCTCGCCAGGCATTACCCCATAGAGGAGGCACTGCTTTTTATCCTCCCTCGGAAAACATGGCGGCACTTGGCACATGTAGCACTGAGGATGATCGGTGAGTCAAAGAAGCGGACAAAGTTATGTTTTCTAGGTGCCCGAAGACCTGTGACTTTGAAAAGGAAATCGTCAAATAGTCAAAATAACTGGGTTTGGTGTCTGTTTCCGTAACTTCGGTTCCGACTCTGCTAGGGCAGCCTTCCATGTGGCACAACATGGCCCCTCACGTCGCTCCCAAAAGTCCACTGCACATTCTCTTCGACCTTACACCGTTTCAAAGAATTTGAGATCACTGAAAGGGCCGTAAAAGAGCTTCACACTCGAAAGTGAAGCGTCGTCTGCTCACAGCAATGGGCGGCAGGCACGAAGAAGAGCGTTTGATCGCAGGACACAAGCAAACACGACACTTCGGGTCGGGATGATTCGGAGTGAGAGAACCTCAAGTTGCAAAACGACTATCTTTGGCGTCACTGCACTGGTGCAAATCGTGCGGGAACTTCAAGTTCGGCTTCGGGATCTCCGTGAAATAAAAGCCGTGCAGTCAACCGCACAACACTTCAGCATCTTCATAGCCATTGGGCACGCAAAACACCAGAAAACACCAACTGAATTACAAAACACAAAACTTTGTCTCTTAAAAGGATGCAACGAATACCCGAACCGGAAAGGATATTCGGCCCCTGTCAAGGAGGCTAAAAGTGCCCTGAATATCACGTATAGACCTTTCCAGCGGCAGTCTCGAACGAAGCGATTTACAGCGCGCGTCCCCGGTTTTGAGAGTGTACGTCAGTGTTGCCCGACTGCGCTGAGCTGTGGAGTTTCTTGTCAGTGGGCTGTGGCAGCCTGCGTAGGCGCAATTCCGGACGCTGGCAGCGGCTGAATTGCCGCGTTTTCTTTTTTATTTTGTGTTCTGTGGCGAACATAATTTATAGAGGTATTTAAAAAAGCAGTGCTCTATTTTTGGGAACAAAAACAAAAAAATGAAAGCTGTTTTGGTGAGTCCGTGCGCGGCAGAATAAATGCAACTGGAATGTTTGTTTCATTTTATGTTCATCGTTTTACGGCACCGTACACTCAGCCGTGTGTGTTCAAAATATTTGACCACATAGGATATCCGAACTGCATGGATATTCCCCGCCCACAACATGAAATTCAATGAGTCTCATCAATCAAACAACATATATTGTACGTACCCCACGGTGCCGCGTTATCCAAACAGGATTTGAGAAAGGTCTCAAATAACACAGCATATCCAATATACAGTGTCGACGATAGTCACTTCACGACAATCGGACGGAGTCCGGCGTGTTTTGGGGAACATGTAGGGAGCAGCTTTTTTGCACAGCTTCAAAGCAAATGAACGAACGTGTCTATTCTGTCCCCACACCCCGGACCCGACCCTATCAGTTATTTTTTGCGAAGACCCGGAACAGAGCCGGGAAGGGTTTTTGGAGATTATATCGACGGAAATAATCCTCCAAGAACGTCGAACTGCCTGCGTCGCGGGCTGCTTGACGTTCGCTCTCTTCGTTCGTTTCCTGCGAAGGCCGAGCGGGCTACGAGCCCTGGTATTCCCTGGTTCTCACAGTGGAAGGTAACATACAAAGGGTAAGCATCCTAAACAGGCGAATAAAGTAAAAAATTCCAAGAAAAGCCGGCGAACTCCGAATGCAAAATGCAGGTGGGGAGTCATGCTGACCGGGTTTCCACAGCTCAGGCGGGTGCCAGAAATATCTGGCTGATAGGGGTCGCTCGATTCGCAAAATGGCGGCGGCCAGAGCGCTCTTTTTGCAAAGGTCTATAGGAACTTAGCACTTAACTTCATAAACCTTCCCTCACCACTGCCATGAACCTCCCCTTAAAATTCTTCATTTGCCGCTTTCGTCTACTCTAAGCCTAACCTTTATCATCATGCACACTTTTTCCTGGGATTTGGACTTCCTGTACATGCTCCCTACAGGAGCCAGAGTTGTGCATTCAGCCATCTTGAAATATTAAGTCATGCGGAAAAGCAACCTCTTCCGCGTGTAGGAGCCACGCTACGGCGATTGCAGCCGGTCACATGACTGAATTCGGTGAATAGCAATGCCGCGCACACAGCCTCGCTTGGAAAACAAGAAAGGAGGAGGAGGAGGAGGCAAAAGCAGTCTGACTTTTGCCTCCTGCCACACATGCACGCCGGCGTGCATGTGTAACACATTGGCGAACCAACCTTTCTTCATCAAGCAGGATTCTTTGCTCCTCACGTGATCAATCTCGGTAAATAGCGGCGCGGCGGCACATGGAAAATACGCGCAACTCTGGCTCTCATAAGGAGCATATACAGTAACTCTATTTCGATTCTGCTGAGGACGCCTTCCTGGCTGAGGATCTCAGAATTAGCACGGACTTCTAGAAGCACGTACAGGAGCTGATCTAAACTGACCGGCCATAGTCGAGCCAATGCCACTCTTCTACATCTATTAAAGAGGTGGAAACAATAAACTTACCGTGACCTGAAGACCGATTCGGTTCCATGCGAACTGATGGGTGGGGTCAAGCTCCAAGACACCCGCCAGGTGCGGTCTCACAGAAGCCAAGCCGTATTCCACGAGGCTCCAACTGTAATCGGGCTGCAAGTTCAGACAGTGGGAGGTTAGTGATCTCCAATGGCTGTCTGCTGCCTTCACCATAAATAAAAAAATTCTGCCAGTGCAGTACGATCCCTAGACTGGGGTCTTTAACAAGCATCGTGCAGTGGCGACACACAACCACACGTCAGTATGATGCTCATCCGGATCGAAACTGGCAGGAGCGGGGATTAATCCCTGGGTTTTGCAGCACAAGCTTTAGTCCACGCTATCCGAGCTGCGGTGCACGTTAAGACGTCCGGTCATTGAGCCCCTTGCACTCTATGAATCGACTTCAGAACCGGTGAATGAAAAACATTCCTTGCCAAGCTGAAGGCAAGCTGCAAACACGCAAATAAGGCAGGTCTAGAACTCGCTGAAAAGTAAACAAATGCATTACCTTCGGAGTAAAATTGTCGGCCGCGCAATGTCCGCTGTCAAATTAGGTTTGCCAGCTGTTGGTTCGTCCTCCTTGCAAATGTTTCGAGCACTACTAAACCCTTTCCACGATACAAGGAAGTAGTTTACAATGGAGTGACATATACTTCGAGGGTTGAGCGCCCACTATTTACGAGACCTAATCGTTGCAGCTATACCAGGCGTCAACTATTTCGTGCTGTATTGTGAAGCCTAGCATATCTTCCACAGTGCAGCAGTCATGCACTGTGGAAGCTATGCTACCCTCAACAACATAGCATAAAATAGAAGACGCCAGTCATAGGATGACGCCAAGCTAAATCACCCTAGCATCAACGAGAATGCTAGGAATGCAGGTGAACACGCCCCATGCCCTCACCTTCCCCCTATAAAAGCTTTGAAGTAAATGACCAAAAGAAGGCATTCTCCAACGTGAAACAAGATGGCAAATTTGTTTCAAGTTTTTGCTCTAAAACAGCGACTGCTACAGACTGCAGCACATGCAACACATGTAGTTACACTCGTAGCATGCTTCTTGGTGCTTTGGGTTCGGGCAGAGCCGTATATTGCGAGAGTTTGGCCAGTGGGTGTGGCGACGAAGGCGCCGGAGAGGAGAAAAGTAAATGAAAGGGAGGAGCGCGCCGAAGGAGCGAGAGAGAAAGAAGGGAGCCGAGAGGAGACGACCGCCATTTTTTAGCAACGCTGTCGGAGACTGGTTGGAGAAGAGCACTCCCGAGGCTACGCGTCGTCTGCTACGGGCCGACTTCTTTTTCGCCTGAAATAAAGTTTGTGGCCATACGCCGAAAAATCTTCATTTATTAGCTTTTTAACCCACCGAGAAATAACAGAATGTAATTTTCTTGCAAGAGCCAGCGATATAAAAGGCAATAATTGAGATTTAGATGCCGATCCTATGCATACCGCCGGGAGAATGAACGAAAATGGCGGCCCTCCCCACTCAGGTGGGAGCAGCCGGGAGTTCACGCGCATGCGCTCATGCCTCTCGCTCTACGCCGCGTGCTGATTGGCTCACTCGGGAGGAGAGCGTTACGGCGGCGAGATCATAGACTGACAAACTCTCCCCATATACGGCTCTGGGTTCGGGTTGGCAGCTCTCGGTTCAGTTTCGGTTTAGTTCCACGGGGAGCAAAAATAATGGTGGAAACCAGTTCGAACCGCTAAATTGAGAATATATTTTCCGCGATGTTTTGGCAACAGGCACTATTATTACCGTGAAACGAGCAACTATCTATATAGTTTTCTTTTTATCATTCCTAAATCTAGTTTTATTTTCAGGTATCAAAAATAAGAAATACCGTTATTTACTTTTTATGCAAAAGAAACAAAAAAGATCAGGATTAACAGTCAAAACGCGTTTATACGACTCATCATCCATTTGTTTACCCGAGTCATATCTATTTTACTTGGATCGAAAGGTTGTTACAAAGAATGGTAGGTTGCCTAAAATACACGTGATTGGTACAACTTCGCGTCGCAGTATTAAAAGTTGTATCGTAGTTGTGCTCTTGAACTAAGCAATGTGCATGAAATCACAAAAAGGCCACCTCGTCGCCATATAGTGGAATATAGTTTACAATACAAGTTTTACAATATGTATGATGACGGTGCAACTGAGCAAAAAGCAATGATATTTTCAAAATGTTGCAAAAGTTTGAGGACAAGCCATTTCAGTCTACCTTTCATAAAACACTGAGCAGCAATCACAACGCCCGTTTTCCTACCCAACATTGTTTACACTCAGCAACATGATGCACTCAAAGAATCATGCAGAAAGGAGTGATCCAAATTGTTGTCTTATCTATAGGCACCTTCAAACTCACATCGATTCTGACCTCAAAAAGTGTGTGCCCAAGCGAACATTATCTTAAACAAGAGGAACAACATAGCCTGGCTGTTGAGGTTCGTGCCTGACAAGAAGCTGGTCAATTCAATTCGCAAATTAGAATCAGCCTTGCTAATCTGTGATTTTCTATAAAATAAAACAAAGTAGTATTTTACGCTATATTCGAAATGGCAGCTACTTAATTGGTCACTTTCTCACGATATGCATGCGTAATTGTCATTGTTCTGCCACATGCCCCTGTGTACAATGTTTCTATCCAGCCCACACATATATAATTCCTGTTCATTACATAAGAAAAAATAGCATACTTCTATATGTATGAGAAGTTATTCATCTATCACACGTCAACTGGTAGCAAGGCTATTTGACACATAGGGCATTTCGACATTGGGCAGTATCACTATGACAATTCATCAAACTGTTAAAGGGCACCTCCGCTTAATTTCAAAAATTTTGAGATAGTGGCCGATTTTGCTTTTTGAAGCACTCAAAAACAATCCCCAATCCTTTGTTTCATGAAAAATAAAATATTTTTCGGGTAATTTTACTCTAGCCATGATCACAAACCGAAACCGAAACGGTGGCAAAGCCGGACAACATTGTATATTCGGCATCACTAAGCATGTACACCCACGTGATATACAAGGGGAAGAAGAAGCTCCCCTCTTATCAGGATCCTCCTTTGTGCCTCCTGGATTAGCACAGGCGTCGCTATTCTCCTCCCAGAAGATTATAGAAGATTAACCTGTCACTCAAAATTCTTACAAAAGCAGCTTCCCTCTCCTCCTTTTACTTGGTGTTCAGAAGTATGCGATGTAACACAAGCCACGCTCAACGAGGCGATGGGCTTATCAGTAGTATCAATAGTCGAGCGCCGGGCCGGCCGAGCGCGTCACTCACGTCTTTCATGGCGCTGGCGCCACCCGTGCTCTCCCCAAGAAAAAAAACAAAATTGAAAAAAAAAAAAAAAAAGAAGCTGTACATGTTTGATGACGTCGCGGACGTGCCGGGAGAAGGAATTTGGAGGAAGCGGAAATGCAGCCGGGCAGTGTTGTCTGGCCCGCACGTCTCAACCAAAACCAGCGGATTCGTGCTTGTCAAACTTCGACAGCGATTTTAATGAACTTCTAGGCGGAATTCCGTCGTAATATTTGCCATGGGGGTTTTGTAGATGATAACAAAGAGAACTGTATAGTTTTGCACTACTGTAAAAGAAGCGGAGTTGCCCTTTAAAGGGCAACTCCGCTCAATTCCAAAGATTTCTGGATAATGAGGGATTTCGAATTAAAAAGCCCTAGTAAAAGACACTACGTCTTTTGCTTCGCGAAAAATGGGATATATATTTTTAAATCTAATTTTAAACACGAGCGGAAACCGAAACTGAAACTTCGGCTCCGTCCGGCAACATTGGCCTCGGGCCGCCAAGTACATGGCCATCACGTGGTACGAGAGGTCACGTGATCCTCGGCCCAAAGACGGGCGGGATGGGGGCGGGCGGGCGTGCGGCAGGCGCGAGTGTCGTCTGCTCCGCACTCTTCGCCACGTTTTGGTGTCTACGGCATTCAACGACGCCTGCACAACTGCGGCATAAGTCTGGGACTCTGCGCATGTGGTGTCCATAGTGTGGACGAAACTCCGAGAGGAAATAATCACGAACGGTGAGACGACGACGGTGGTTGTGACGCGGAAAACGGCGATAACGGCGGGACCACGACGGTGGTTGTGACGCGGAAGACGGCGATAACGGCGGGACCACGGCGGGCGGTTGGTCTGCTCCCAAGAAGCGCGCTGCACAGGCGCGTACGTCAATCACGTGGACACCGCTGCGCGCCGAGAGGCAACGTTGCTGACGCCACGCGCTACGCTCGATCGGAGAAGTAAAAACAAGGAAAAGGGGGCCATGTAGATGGCGTTTAGCTCAATGTTGGCTCCGCCCATGCCGTAACCTTGACTGCGCTGTTGGTTGCGCCTGAATTCGCCCGCTAGAGTCAGCCGATTTCGGCAACTTGGTGAGTTGCAAAGTTTGCCGGACCGTTTAAGAAACATTTAGAAAGAACTGCGTCGTAATATTTGACGTGCGGTCTTCTTAGGCGATACTGAAGAGGACTGCATTGTTTTTTCAAAACCAAAAATGAAGCGGAGTTGCCCTTTAAAGGCTAGTATGCGGACAAGATTTTGAAACCTTATCTGTGGATTTTCCGACAAGTTGTCCCAGTGATGAATTGCCCTATGACAAATTGTCCTATCTGACGAACTGCTCTGCTACGAGTTGCCCTATTATGAATTGTCTTTTGACGAGCGGCCCATATCCTTATGAGTCAAAAACACATGTAGTTATTTAAATCAGCCTCAGAATCAAAAACTTCTTTAATGCTCTACTTATACACGTGCCTATCGAGAATAAAAATGTTGGAAAAGGTTTGCAGAACATTGTTCAGATAATTTGGGGGCTCATTTACTTAAGATGCATGTATATCTTTAAGGTTTATTGGCCCTTTATTTATGCTATCAAATCTTCAGTCAGCAATTAAATATAATGTTATCTGAGGCCAATCCATTTGTGTCTTCAAGTGCCGTTCGAAAGTGTTAAGCACAAGTCACGCTTATTCTGACATGTGTTCCAGCAGCCGCTCGCCGACAATCTGTTTTAACATAAAGCGCGAGCGAGGCAAACGCTACAGGAGGGAGCAACATGTTTTCCTATGTATGTTTATGCGTGTGC